CTCCATCCCTGTGCTCTCCCCTGATGGCTGTGGGTGGCTGATTACTGGCACCAAGGACAGGAGAGCTGAGGGACCCCAGCCATGACCTCTCACCCCAGGGAGCACCCCAGCAGGCCCCACTTTCGCGTTGAACTGTGGCGTGGCCACGTCGTGTCCTTGGCGGTGGCTCGCACAACCATTTTGGGACACTTTACAGGTCCTACTTGGAGCCAGTGGAAGGAAACCTAATTTCCTCCCACAGGAAATTGTTTGGCTAGTGAAGGATATATTTAAAGATTAAAACCTTCTGTCAGAGGAGCTGGAGAGAGTTGCTGGAGAAAGCTGTTTGGGGGTCTTGGGAAGCCACTGGGTGTAGGCAGAGTTCTCGGCCGTACACCAGCAGGCAGCTTCCTGGGATTCTGCTCTGCACACAGCAGCCACTCTGGGGCTGCGAGGAGGCTGACACAGAGAGAAGAGAAGGTCAGAGACCCTTTTCTGGCACTAAGCACATTTATGGTAACATCAGCTCAGAATTAAGACCTATTTTGTTGGATTTGCTTAGTGGGCCCGGTGCCCTGTAAGGCTTGGGAGGGCGTGTTCCGACACACACAGCTCTTTAAACCCAGCAGCAGAGACTCCCAGCTCACTATTACTATTTAACAAGCATCAGTGCGTGCTTTAAATGGGACAGAAAGGGAAAAAGGAACAGTACCAGGGCACCGGGCCCTGGGCAGCCCAGACTCTGAGCCAGGAGTAGTTGCTGACGCAGAAGTAATGAATGAGATGCCCTTCTTGTCTTGAGTTTGGGAATTTTATGGCACGGACTAGACAACTTCTAGAGAATCCTGCCAAGTCAGCCCGGAGGTCATGTGCTGGCGAGCTGGAGAGCCAGACAGCGTGCGCCCATCCATCTCCCTGTCATCGGGATCCTGTGTGACCCTAGGACTGGGCCATGACTCGGGGATGTCCGGGGACTCAGTGAGGTGGCACCGTTAAGGGACTTGCCTGATGAGAGGTGAGGATGGGAGGATGTGAGACCAGGGGCAGAGCAGTGAAAATTCAAAGCAGACCTGTGGCCTCATTGTGACCCTGCAGGGCTGCCCCCGGGTCACCGAAGCAGAACAGGGATGGGTGTATCTGAGCAGCTACCGCAGGCCTTCCTCTGCCAGACTTGTCGTGACAGCGCGACAGTCACGGTTATGCAGAGGTAACGCCAGTACACGGCTGCTGTTCATTGTGTCGTTGCTTTGTGCTGAGGGTTTTCCACGTGGAGTATCCCTTAGTCCTCCCAGCTGGCCAGGGAAGGGGCCTCTGTTTCAGATGAAAACATGAAAGACCGGAAGTGGCTCATTCAAGTTCACATATCGAGCGTAGAGTCAGGGTTTACATCCTGGTTTATCCAAGTCCAAAGCCCTTGCCTCTTTTTTAAACTTGCTTTTTAAACTTGCGATACACTTTACGAGTAAGCTGCACATATTTAAAGCATATTATAGTTTGATAAATTTTGACATGTGTCTACACCTGTAAACCCACCACTACGGTCAATACAACAAACATACCCTTTGCCCCCAAGTCTCCCTCATACCTGCGTTCATCCCTGTGCCCCCTGCAGCCTCCCCCGAAACTACTCACCTGTTTTCTATCACTACGGATTTGTTCACACTTTTTACCTTACGTTGCTCCGCAGTTTCACATAAACTGGACTGGGTCTGGCGTCTTTCACTCGGTGTAATTATTTCTGGATCCAGTCCTAACGTTGCGTGTATCAATAGTCCATCCCTCCGCTGTGCTGGGGTAGATCTTGGTATGGGTTTGCTCCAGTGTGGATCTGTGTGTGCACAAGTATCTGGACGTATGCTTTCATTTCTGCTGGCTAAATGCATACAAGTAGAATGGGTGCACAGTGTGGTGGGTTGTTTTTAACTTTTTCTCATTAGTACATGTTTGTAGTCTATAATGTTCACGTTCCTTCTGTGGAGTTGCTACATACTGATAACACATCCTTTTCCTCCCTTCCTCCGTCTCTTGATTCCCTTCCTGTCTGAGAAAGATCTGTCTCTCCACTTCCTGTTAGCTCTCTTCTTCTTTTGCTTTTTATTTATAATTTGCGTTTCTCATGTAAGAAAAGCCATGTGATATTTAAGCTTGTGTGTCTGATTTACTTCACCTAACCGTAGAGTGTCAAGGGGCATCCATTTCCTACAAATGACTTTGCTGTATGGCAGAGTACTACTCCGTTGTGCATAAATATCACACCTCTCTGTTCCTCTGTGGATGAGCGTAGAGGCTACTTGCAAGATTTATCTATATGAATTGTGCTGCTATAAACACGGGTATGTGTGGATCACTGTGATATGATGTCATTGACTCTTTGAGGAAGAAACCTGGAAGGGGAATAGCTAGGTCAAATGGGATTTCTAGTTTTAGTTTTTTTGAGGGCTCTCCATATTGATTTCCACAGTGGGTGTACTAGTCTGCATTCCCCCCAGCAGTGCCAAAGGGTTCTTTTTAGGCCTCACAGCCTTGCCAGCATTTGTTATTTGATTTCTTTCTTTCTTTTCTTTTCTTTTCTCCCCCCCCCCGTATTGGGCATTGAACTCTGGACCTTGCACTTGCGAAGCAGTCGGCAGAACCACTGAGCTAAATTCCCAGCCCTGTTATTTGATTTCTTGATGATGCTCATTCTAAGAAACTGCTGAACTTTTTCCAAAGTACAGTAATTGGACCATTTTACGTTCCCATCAGCAGTGGACAGGAGTTCCAGGCACTCCACAGCTTTGCCTGCTGGTTTTAGCTGTTCTTGTGATTGTGTGTGGAATCTCACTGTAGCTTTAATTTGTCCTCTGAAAACTGATGATGTCTTTCACGTATATATTCGCTATCTTTATATTTTCAATGTAGTGTCTGTTTAAATCGTTACCTGCTATTTTGAAATTAGATTCTTTTCGTGATACTGAATTTGTGGAGTTCCCTATCCTGAAAGCCGGTCCTTTATCACATAGATGGTTTATAAATATCATCTCCCAGCTTGTCACCTTTTCACTCTTTTGACAAATGTCTTTCAAAGATCAGAAGGTTAGATTTTGATGACCAGTATCTCAACTTCCTTTTTCTGGATTGTGCGTTTCATGTGGTATCTGGGACATCTGTGCCCTGAAGACACCAAGATTTTCTCCAGAGTCTCAGAAGTTTTACCATTTTAAGCTTTATTGTGTGATGCACCCTCGTTGATTTTTTTTTTTTTTTTTTTTTTTTTGGGGGGG